CCAGCCCAGGCCCGCCAAAAACAACAATGACAGCTGCAACCAAAAAATAGCCAGGCGTTATGGTAGGCACCTATAGTCCCAGCTACTTGGGAGGCAGAGGCAGGAGACTCGCTTGAGCCCAGGAGTTGGAGGTTGCTGTGAGTTGTGAGGCCACGGCACTCTGCCCAGGGCGACAGCTCAAGGCTCTGTCTCAAAAAAAAAAAAAAAAAAAATGTGTAAGTGGAGGCCAGGCGCGGTGGCTCATGCCTATAATCCCAGCATTCTGAGAGGCTAAAGCAGGTGAATTGCTTAAGCTCACAAGTTTGAAACAAATTTGAGCAAGACCTCATCTATAAACGTAGCTGGGCATTGTGGTGGACGCCTCTAGTCCCAGCTACTTGGGAAGCTGAGGCAAGATCATTTGAGCCCAAAAGTTTGAGGTTGCTATGAGTTGTGACACCATAGCCCTCTACCAAGGGTGACCAAATGAGATTCTGTCTCAAAAAAAAAAGTGTAAGTAAACTGTGAATTTACTCTAAAGGAATTTTTTTGTTACCAAAATTGTGTATAGCTCTGCAGAGAATCTGATGCTGCCAAATCTGTCAAGTGTAGGTTCAGCAGTTCTTCAATCCTCCTTGCCAAAGAGTATGTGAAGCAAAGCATGTGTTAAGCAAGATGGGTGTGTGCTCTTTGGCTGAGCTTTGAGATGTGGGGTCAGCCCAGTTACATGCTTGCCTTGTGGTGGTGCAAATTTTATGTACTCTTACATAATATGGTACTGGCTAATGGCCTTCCTTGATCTTTTTTTTTTATAGAGACAGAGTCTCATTTTGTCACCCTTGGTAGAGTGCTGTGGCATCACACTCACAGCAACCTCAAACTCTTGAGCTTAAGCAATTCTCTTGCCTCAGCCTCCCAAGTAGCTGAGACTACAAGATGCCTGTTACAACTCAGCACCTGTGGTTCAAGTGGCTAAGGCGCCAGCCACGTACACCCAAGGTGGCGGGTTCGAATCCAGCCCAGGCCCACCAAACAACAATGATGGCTGCAACCAAAAATAGCCGGGCGTTGTGGCGGGCGCCTGTGGTCCCAGCTACTTGGGAGGCTGAG